GACTCGTACCTCATTCTTGAATGTGAACATCAGTGACAACATTTTGCATTGTGTTTAATTAGATTTATTTTGCGTTCATGTGTGCATGTTTTGGTTGCATAAATACAAGAATAGATCAAAGCGCTGGGTTAGGGCTGCTCATTGTCTGTGTGGGGGTGCAGGAAGTCTCCATCGTGACTAATAGGTATCTGCTTCTAATTACATAGGCAGGCAGACACACACACACACACACACACACACACACACACACACACACACACACACACACACACACACACACACACACACACACACACACACACACACACACACACACACACACACACACACACACACACACACACACACACACACACACACACACACACACACACACACACTATATTCCTTTTCATATCTAAAGACAGAGACCTTAAACTTACCAAAGATCAAGACAGGCCTCAATTTAAAATAAACAAAATAAATCCAGCGCTGAGGTAAGATGTTCCCTACTCTTAGTATTAATTGCTTGTTCTCTGAAGCAACAACAAGATTATGTCAGTACCAGTAATTGGCATACAACAGGTGGGCATGTTAACCCTTTCAATCCCCGACCAACCTCCAACTCCCTCAACTGGATGGCCTTGCTCTCTGTCTCACTATCTCTCATTTTCTGAAGCATGACTTCAAAACTAACTACTCTGGTCACACTGCAGACTTAGGCGGTGGAAATCGTTGTATTACAGCAGTTTAGTAACCTAATTGCCAGGTTCAATTGGTTTGTGTTTTTTTCTGCTACAAGGTAAAACGTAACGTGTGCTGAGTTGTAAGAGTTGTAAGTATTGTATTCAATAAGCTGCACTAAAAAAAAACTCTTCCTGCATTCAGAACAATAGTAAAAAATATGTGTTTATATCAAAAAGAAGGCCCACCTACTGTATACAATTAAAAGTAAAAGCACTCACATTGTAGTCAAATATCCACTGTCAGTGTTTTACTGTATAATGTGTTTAGATTATTATGCACATGTTACTGCTATGCATGTTTATCGTTGTGCATTAACTCACTCCTGGGTAGTTAAATCTACAAAACGGCATTATATTATATAAGTGTATCATGTTTGTAGCGCCACCCTCTTCTCAGAACCACATATAGGTAAAAAGTAAACTTCTTAAGAGCTCAGAAAGTAGTCGTCTGTGACGGTGCACTTGTTGGCTTAATAAGTGCTGTAGGATCATTTCTTTACACAAATAAACGTTTTTTTTAATAAAGCAAAGGTCTAAAGTGATTAGATTCAGCCCCTAGTTTTGCTGCTATAGGCTTAGACTGTCGGGGACATCAGTCCCTGTTTCTTCTACCCCCCCTTCCCCTCCACCCGCTGACAACACCTTGTCCCTCACAACCAACCAGGTGAGGAGGGAGCTGCAGAAGTGTAAAGCGAGGAAGGCGGCTCCAGATGGCATCAGCTCGAGGCTCCTCATATCCTGTGCGGACCAGCTGTGTGGGATTGTAGAGCTTCTATTCAACCTGAGCCTGAAGCAAGGGAAAGTACCACAACTGTGGAAGACGTCCTGTGTGGTACCTGTGCCAAAGACCCCTCACCCCAAGGAATTCAACAGCTACCGGCCGGTGGCGCTGACATCACAGCTGATGAAGACCCTGGAGAGGCTGGTGCTTGGACACCTTCGGCCCCTTGTGAGACCATCAATGGACCCGCTGCAGTTCGCCTACCAGTCTGCCATCGGGGTGGATGACGCCGTCATCTACCTGCTGCAGAGGTCCCTCTCCCACCTGGAGAAGGCTGGGGGCACTGTGAGGATCATATTATTTGATTTTTCCAGTGCCTTCAACACCATCCAGCCCCCGCTCCTGGGGGACAAGCTGCAGATCTCGGGGGTGGATCACCACCTCACACCCCCCTGGACTACCTCACCAACCGTCCACAGTACGTGAGGACCAGGGAGTGTCAATCAGACACCATCATCAGCAGTACGGGGGCCCCCCAGGGGACGGTGCTGGCACCGTTTCTCTTCACCCTCTACACTGCAGACTTCACCCACAACACTACAACCTGTCACCTGCAGAAGTTCTCTGACGCCATCGTTGGCCTCATCTCCAACGAGGACGACAGGGAGCTGACGCAGGACTTCACCCTCTGGTGGTGAGGAACCACCTCCAGCTGAACGCAGCGAAGACCAAGGAGCTGGTGGTGGATTTCAGACGGCGCCAACACTCCCCCCCGACACCAGTGAACATCCAGGGAGCGGACATTGAGATTGTGAAATCTTACAAATACCTGGGCGTTCATCTGAACAATAAACTGGACTGGCTGGACTGGACTGATAATTTTGCTGCTCTGTACAAGAAGGGACAGAGCAGACTCTTTCTGCTGAGGAGACTGTAGTCTTTCGGGGTGCAGGGGGCACTCCTTCAGACATTTTATGACTCTGTTGTGGCATCAGCCATCTTCTATGGTGTGGCCTGCTGGGGCAGCAGCATCGCGGCTGCTGACAGGAAGAGACTGAACAGACTGGTAAGGGAGCTCTGTCCTGGGGAGTCCTCTGGACACTGAGGTGGTGGGAGACAGGAGAATGGCAGCCAAGTCCCGTCCTCCCTGCTGGACAATGTGTCTCACCCCCTCCAGGACACCCTGTCCTCACTGTGCTACTCCTTCAGCGACAGGCTGCTGCACCCCCGCTGTCTCACGGAGAGATACCACAGGTCCTTCCTTCCTGCAGCGGTCAGACTATACAACCAGCACAGCCCCCAGTAGGACCCCCCCCCCCCCTATACCACGACACAGACTATATCACCCCTTGCTGCTAAATACCATCCAACTATGTGCAATATGTGCTATATGTGCAATATATATATGCTGTTAATAATTGTGTAATTTACCTGGCTGCTAAATCCTAAGAACTGTTACAGGATGTGTATTTAGAAAATTATGTAACTTTTTATTATATTTTGTATTCATAACTTAGTACTTTTTTTTTAATGCATGTAACATATTAAGCTGTCTGTGGCTCTTTTTCCTGCTGTAACTACGCAAATTTCCCTCCGTGGGACTATTCTGATTCTGACACCTTACTTCTTCCTTCTGTCTGTCTGTACCTGTGTACTCTCATGTTCCGAATAACCCAGCTTCCCCTATTCTGTACAAACTGTGAAGTCCACTGAGACAAATTTGTGATATTGGGCTATATAAATAAACATTGATTGATTAATGAAGTTACACAAAACGTAAACAAGTACTTCAAATGTATACTTAAAGGGATAGTGGAAATCCGCGAATTTTGAGTTTAACTTATGTATTTTTATTAAAAATAAGCATAATAAACAATTTTTTTTAATTTCATGCGCCTAGTTTCATTTTATTTTCAATTTTACTGCGCCCTCTCAATGAAACGAAATACTTCGGGAATCGTCGGGAATCTTCGGGTGATGACGAGAGCATAGGAAGACGGGCACAAACAATGGCGGACATTCAATAGCATTTGCATGTGAATAGCCGACCTTTATTATGGTACCGAGTATATTGCCATAAATATGATGATTGATTATCAGTAAAAAATTCTACGTGACACAACGACATTGGATTAACCTTGAGATGCGTTTTTATTCCGTTGAACACAACTTTTGATCACAAATCAAAAAAGGTAAGACGTAATTATTGTAATATTTTTGGAACCGGATGTTGTTTACTTTCTCTTTTCTGGCTGATAGCTATAGGAATTCGAGGTCTTACAGTGATGACATTACATGTGTGGAATCTGTGGAATCTGTGGAGTCTCAGCTTTAAATCGTATATCTTGTTTGTGCAGTTAAGATAGTAATAAGGGCATTTCTACCGTGTGTTGTGTGTAAAAAAGCGTTAGCATTAGTTAGCATTGTTTCGCTCAATGCTAATTCAAAGGCTTGGTATTACTCTTGTGTTGTTTCTAGCTAACAATTGTTCTTATTGTCAGTTAGCGGAGTTTCTTACCTTTAAAAGGGTATGAAACATTAATAGTTTCATAAATGTTAAGAAGCCCTGAGACATGTGAGAGAAAAAAAACTGTGGGAGGGGTCCACTGGGGGGACCTTAGGGATTAACTGGTTAACAATGATTAATATTTGTAAAGGCTACAGGTGATCTTAAGATGCGTGAGCTATGCTTAGGGACCTACCAGTCAAGATTATTTGTGCGTAGGGGTGCATCATCTGGCGCCTGGTCCTGGTCATCCTCGCCATTGCCCATGCCGTGAACCATCACCTCGGGCTCGGGCTCGAACAAATAAGGACGTAATGGTCCATCGTCTGGCTCAATATTGTCACCATCGTCGCTTACTGAACCGGATTCAGATTCAGTTCCTAAAACGACATTTTCGTAGGAAAGCCGAGAGGATGTTTCTGACTCGCTATCATCACTGGATACCTCGTACAATCCTTCTTATTTGTCTGGTATATTTGCCCTTCCACGTTCATTCTGCATAGACGCCATGGTTTGTTATCGTATCGTCTTCCTAAGTTTTCGTCACTTCCGGTTTGGCTGAGTCGAACATTTCGTTTCTAAAAAACTTCGGGGAAGCTGCAATAAAGTGCTTCTAACATGTAAGGCAATTATTATATTTTTTTAATCAGGTGTGATTGTTTTGGTACGTAATTATGCTTGTATATAAGTTAAAACGAAACTATTTGAGGTTCCATTTCCACTATCCCTTTAACTACAGTACTTGATTAATGTACTTAACAACATTCCATAATTTGTAAGTATAAGAAGACAATTGAGCTACTTGACCTGTATGTTGTTGGCTTGCTAACAAAAAGGTAAAATATGTGTTTTAAAGAGCATTTCAAACGTTTAACTATAATATAGCTTGAAGAACATGTTGCGTTTTTGTTTCCCCCAATAGTTAATGTAATGATTACATGTAATATTATTTTGTAATGTGGTGTTGCTGTTCATTTCCTTCCATTTTGTAAACGGCTGGCTCCCTGCGCGCGCATTCTCTGTGCTCTCTAATTAGTGCGCGCACTCTTGTATGAAGGTGGAGGCTCGACTTGTCGCTGCTGCGCGGCAGAAGAAACTTGTGCAGTTAAAACTTTGACAAACATCGTTACATTTCTGCCACATACCCAGACATATATGCTTCTCAAGAACTCTCCCAATGTTTGACGAAGGAGAGGAAACCGACAGCGGCGAGAGAGCCCGGCTCCCTGAGTCTCCCTCCCCGCCTTTGACTGTATGTCTTCCCGGAGGATCTCCTTCCTCACCGCGGCCCCTGGACCTCTTCTCCTCCGCCTGTCCTCTGCTGGGGGACACAGACCCGCCATACCTCGCCACTCCGGAGTGTCTTCACTTGTCTGCGGAGAAGCTGGGACCCGGGGACTCCCCGCACTACTCGCCGCCAAAGTTCTGCTGGAGAACCGGGGACACCGACTCTCCGTTTAGGTCGCGGCACGAGGTGCGGATAGATGATTTGTATGACCGCCATGACCCGTTACCCAAATGGAGAGGACGAGGCGCTGCGAACGCGGAGCGCCTTCAGCACCGCGGACAGAGACAGCACGGGGCTCCGGAGCTCTCGGACCATGGGAACCACTCCACGGAGCTCATCGACACCGGGTTCAACTCCGACACCAGGCAAACGTGAGCCATCCTGTCATATTCACCCACAACTTTGGTTCATCACCCCTAACATGATAAATAAGTAAAGTCACCAGTTGTCAGGCCTTGTGTAAAGTATGTGCTTATTTATGAAGTCTGCAATGTTATGTTATGCAGAGAGGTTGCTGAGTGATGGTTTAGAAATGCCAAAGCCTTTCTGGGTTGAGAGGATTCAATCAACAGCAAATAATCCACCTAGGTGTCAACAAGTAGAGGTCAGGGTTGGAGAGAGTAGAGTAAAGCCAGTATTTGGACTGAGCCAGATGCATTGACCTGTGTATGCATGGGCCACTGATCAGCTCTCAGCTGTGCTTACAGGTCCTTTATGGATTAAATGGACCTGTAAGCAGTAAATAGAATAAATAATAGACCATTATTATTATTAAGGCCATCATGCTCTCGTGCACTGCTTGAATTGCAATCAGATGTCCCATGCAGTCACTGAAAGGACTATAGAAATTATTGCAAAACCCTATTCACACACACTTAACATGCACAAAATATCATTACACCTTTAATGGCAATTGCTTTGCCAAATTGCTGATGTGTCCTATACAATGTATTTATTTATTTTCCTATTTATTTAACTTCCTAACTGTGAGATAGGTAATGATAAGAGCATTTGGTGGATACTATCCATTGCATTCAGGAAACATAAGCAAGGAAAATGGTGACACTTAATGGTTATTCATGTAGCACTGCCAGCTCGATTTTGACTTCCAGATTGTGAGAATGGCAGGACTCAGAGTTGGCTCTTTGATCTTCCCTGGTCTGTTACTTTGATACACCAGTGTTCAACTTAAAGGGTTATAATCAGTATGCTCTCATCACAGATGCCTGACTAAATGTTGGATGCCTTTTTGTGTGTCTGTGTGTGAAAGAGAGGGTGAACATGCCTGTTTCTCATTACCAGTGAAATATGGTGAGCAGCTCACCTTTGATCTTAAAATTGACAATTTACTGCTTGAAAGAGTGTCCATGTGTGCATGGTTGATAAAGAGAAAGAGCTGAGAGTGTAACTCTTCTAAGATTCCACTCACGTCTGTCCCTTCTATACAAATTCTGAGACAAAAGCTATTTTTCACCTTTATCCTCAAATGTTGATTCAAACCTGATTCATTTTCTCATCATTCTTTCCATTTCTCTAGTTCACCGGGAATTGACCTAACCTACTTGATAGCTTGAACTGAAAATAATGAACTTAGTGGCCCAACCTCCAGCTCTAGGATGAACCGATTATACAGAGTTCATGACAGAAAAGCTCACAGCTAGTGATACAGTACATATTTTATTCCACTACATCTTTCTGTGCTTTTCAAACACTTTTCCCATCACTAGAATGTATTGATTTTTAAAAGCACATTCTACGTGCTCATATTAATCGATAGGAATAAGACTGTAAAAGAACGCAACTGCACCTTTTGAAAATTGCATTTGTTACAGTCAATGTTTATTTATGGGGAAAATACATGTAGAGAGTTGCACTGTGAGCATTTATAGATACTGCTAATATCCAGGGCCCCTCCGTATAAAGGCCTTATACGGTACTGCTGATTGCCATTTCAAGAAAAATGATTGCCTATGTTTCTATAGATGGGCGTACAATCCCCAATCTAGCAATGTATCACAATCATTTTACTGCAACATTTATTTTGTAGGTGGCCAGTCACAAAGTTTTCTTGGCTTAACAACATAGCTTATGATAGCAATTACCTTCTGGCTGTCAGCTAAAATGTGGTAACCAGAGGCATGGCTGTAGTTTCTTCATGCATTTAAAGAGCTGTTTCTTGGCAGCTAAATCTTAAAGTATTAGAAACGAGAACTGGTCAAAGGCACCTCAACACTAACGTACCCCATATTGGAGTCATATACTGTAAATCAAAGTAAAGCCACTGTGATATAACTTAAAATTTGGCTGAGTGAGAGGGTTTTCTGCCACTGTGTTGAAGTGTAGTTATACACCAGTAGTGCAGGATAGTTTCTCCTTTTTCTGACAGTTTGTGTTATTAATAGGAGAGGGAGCTGCTTGCTTGGACAGGGTCTTTGAGTGATCTGCAGCAGCTTCTGCCTTAGATAATGCATCAAAACGAGAACTGTGTGGTCACTCAGTAACAGAATTAATTGGTGCAGTGTGTGGTTTAGGGATTAAGATGTTGCCACATAATCATATTGCAAGATTGCATCAAACCAGTCCATTAACGGTGAATCAAATGAAATGTGAAAAGGATTCTTCCCCCCAGGTGTTTGTGTAAAAGCAGGGATTAATGCCGGCTAAATATTGGACTAATATTCAACAGGTAGGCCGAGAGGTGACACTAATGGGATTGCATATAATGTAGGTGTAATTGTAGTAAATGGTCTCTTCTCCCTGAAGCGTCCAAGTCTGGTCATCTTGGTTGCAACAATAGTATTATATGATGATTAATTTAGTCTTAAGAACATTATGTAAGAATACAAACGAGCACACTTGGTATACAAACTCATACAAATACAATATATAAACAATCCCTCCTCTAGTTCCTCTATCCATCTCCTACAAACGCACGCACGCGCACGCACACACACAAACACCCTTGTTATCCATCCATCTCCATTATGTCTGCCTCCTCCTGTCTTTGCCACTCTAATTCTGCACAGACATGAGGCAGGTCAATTCTATTTCAGATCAGAATCACAAACAGTCAGAGATGGATGGAGAGGAAGATAGAGAGGGATGGAAAATGGCAATTCATTGCTGAGCCTATAAGGTTATCTAAATGGGCTGGCAGCCAGGCTGTCCCCATCATGTGTGAGGAATATTCCGGATGCTTACAAACATATCTATGAGTGTGGGTTGGCGTTGGGGGGATATAAGGTGCAACCAGTCATCAGTGCATTATAATAAATCAACTCAAAACGCCTTTAAAAACAAATACCTTTCAAACACTATACATCATTTAAAGCCGTATTCACTGGTTGTTGTGTTAGTTTGCATGAATATTGATCACACACGTGTTTGTCTTTCTGTGCACATTTCTATTATTTTGTTGGTCATGCGTGAGAGGTTATTAAGACATCTTGATTGGCAGCTGAAAGCTTGCAGCTGATTATGTAAATCGAAAATCAAAAGCTGCAGACCTTTTATACCCCTTCATCGCACATTGGCAACTACCCTCACACACACACACACACACACACACACACACACACACACACACACACACACACACACACACACACACACACACACACACACACACACACACACACCATGTATACATCACTTCAGGGGACATTACATTGACTTACATTTCCTGGAGACTTATCCTAACCTTACCCATAACCAACACATGCCTAACCCTTACCCTAACCCTAACCCTAAACCTAACCAAGTCTTCACCCTACAATTAATGATTCCCCTCATGGGGACCTCCATTTTGTCCCCATATGGGAGGTGAGTCCCCACACGTGACTGTGTAAACATATTTAGGTCCCCACAAGTATAGTAATGCTAGGCCACACACACACACACACACACACACACACACACACACACACACACACACACACACACACACACCACACACACACACACACACACACACACACACTTACAATCTCACTCCCCTATAGTGATTTGCCTTGGTGAGCTCTCTTCATCATCTCAGTTCCACATCCTTTCACGCCCTCAGGGAATATTTCCACCATGAACAGGTTTCCATTTTCACCATTCTCTTCAATGGGCACGTGTGTTAGTATGCCTTCTGTGCATACACACACACACACACACGCACGCACGCGCGCGCGCACACACACACACACACACCACATACACACACAATTACATAAACGACAACTAAAATGGGTATTAATTGTTTGTAAGGTCACAGCACCAATTCAGATTGCACACAAGGAATGAAAGTCTTTTGATTGGACAATTTCTAAGCAATTCTGCTTTAGAAGTTCTTCAAGGCAGCAAGTAGTTCATCATAATAGCATTTAATATAATTTATCCCAAGTCTCATTTGCTAGTTAATGTTCTGAGTATTAATTTCCACCAATGTTCTATTCCCAGTTTTTATTTGAAAGCTTACCCATATTCAGTATGTCATCCTCTGCACACACTATGTCAGTCAGTCTTTCTCCCTCTCATTTTTCCAGCTTTGGGAGACATCAAGGCATTTTCTCAGTGTGTGGGTGGGTCAGAGTGTCAGGCCACACAGCAGTTGCAGACATGGTGGCTCTCTATGTCTCTGAAATACAATAGGAGGAGTACAATCATTCGAAATAAATGTGTTTTTCAGTGTGAGTACCGCGGTTCTTTCTTTTTAAGGTACAGCTGGACAATTCCCTATTGATAACATTGATTTTGTACCTGCCCTGTCTTGCTGAGATGTGTCACTTCAAATTGGCCTCGTGTTAGTAAGAAAACAAATAAAGACATATTGAACATTACTGGAGGAACATGTTCATGCCTGTGTGTATCTGTGTGTTAAAAGATAATGACAGATTCACCACGGACCAAAGTGTCTCTCTGGATGACCACTCAGTCATACTGTAGTGTGAGTTTGTTATGCCAGAGCCAATTATGGTGACAGCTGAATCTCTCTTTTGCCAATCAGAGCTGTTGACCTGAGATGGCCCAACAGTGTTGCTTTCTCTTGGGTTAGTGGAAAAGTTAACTGCTGATTGTGATTGACTTTTTTTTTATCACCGGTAGATGTAATAATGATTCTGTCGTTTCTTCTTGTCTCTAAAATTAGATTTTTTGCACTCAACTTTTTCTTCCAGTCACCCTCCATCACTTCATCATCCTTTCTCTGATTCAACCTTTGTTTCCTGCCTCCATTTTATATAATTGTTCTGATTGATTCTCCTCACTGTTTGCTCTCTACTTTACTGTCCCCAGGGAAGCCATGCATCGCCGTCACACCACTCTGAGAGAAAAGGGGCGTCGCCAGGCCGTGCGGGGTCCGGCTTACATGTTCAATGAACGAGGCTCGGCCCTCACCGCAGAGGAGGAGCGTTTTCTGGATGCTGCTGAATATGGAAACATTCCTGTGGTCCGCAAAATGCTGGAAGAGTCCAAAACCCTTAACTTCAATTGTGTCGACTACATGGGCCAGAATGCTTTGCAGCTCGCAGTGGGCAATGAGCATCTAGAAGTGACTGAGCTGCTCCTGAAGAAGAACGGTTTGGCCCGAATTGGGGATGGCCTGCTTTTGGCTATCTCCAAAGGTTACGTTCGAATTGTTGAAGCTATTCTTGCCCACCCTGCTTTTGGCGGAGGTATCCGACTTGCTCTGAGTCCTGTGGAGCAGGAGATGCGTGATGACGACTTTTATGCTTATGACGAGGATGGGACGCGTTTTTCACACGACGTCACACCCGTCATCCTCGCTGCTCACTGCCAGGAGTACGAGATCGTCCACATCCTTTTGACGAAGGGGGCCCGCATAGAAAGGCCTCATGACTACTTCTGTAAGTGTTTAGAATGCGAGGAGAAGCAGAAGATAGACTCGTTCAGTCACTCACGCTCCAGGATGAATGCGTATAAGGGCCTGGCCAGTGCAGCGTACCTGTCGCTCAGCAGTGAAGACCCTGTGCTCACTGCCCTGGAGCTCAGCAACGAACTGGCAAGGCTGGCCAACATCGAGACAGAGTTCAAGGTAAGGAGGATTTCATTTTAATGTTTTTGTTTAGCCATTTATTACTTTTTCATTTAGAGAATATAGAATGATAAAACAGCTATAATGTAAATCTATGTTTGCATTTTTTGCACTCTTTTGTCTATTTTTTCTTTACTTTTTCATGACGTTCAGGCAGAAAAGCGCAGAATAGAGATTGTTTAATCTTTCTCAGACAATGTTTTTACCTATAGCGTGCGTGCGTGTAAAAATAGTTAATTTGTGTAAAAGTAAATAATGTTTTTGGAGTGGTTAGATCTAAGGGCTTTACGACATTCCTTATTGCAGGCCTTCACACACTTCACACTTCACACACACACTAACTGAAGCTAAAAATCTACATTTGTGTTAATCTAAACTACTTAGATATGCTGGCAACTGTCGAGAAGCAGGTTGATTGGCTCGGGCTGGGGGTATAGCATGCCACTCACTTCAAAAACGGTTTCCAACGTGTCTGCCCATTCACTTTGAATGGGGTGACATCACGTTGCCTCGCTTTTCGTCGAACTGAATTGTGGGTAGCATAGCGGTCCATCTCCGGCGTCTCCGGCCAATCAAATCCCGTTTCTGAAAATCTGACAGCTCAAGCCCTAGCCAATCAAACCGCGTCTAAGCTGGGAGAGATATCCCGCCGTTCATTTCTATATTTCAAAAAAAGATGGAGGAGAAACTAATTATCGCCGTAGCAAATCACCCGGTTTTGTATGACCAGACCCTCTTCACCTACCGGGATACAAACCGGAAGAACCAGTCATGGAGGGAGGTGGCAGAGACAGTGGGTGAAACTGGTAGGTTTTCGCCTGTTTGGGGAGTTTATATATAAATATATATTGCTCGCATAAAATCCCCGGGGTTTTTTGCTTTGTATGTCGGGGGCGGGAGATTCATGTGATTGGTTGTTGGTCGCGTTGCTCGAATAAAATCCCCAAGCTTCAGACACGCCCAGCTCCAAGCTTTTTTTGAAGCTGTAGTGTGGACGCTCCGTTACACTGTGAGACAGCTTTGGGCAGGCTTTGGTTGCAATTGTAGGTGAAGAGGAAGATGATTCCCTCCTCTGGGCCAGCTGGTACACTTGTCCAGTACCCTCACCAACAGAGTGATTCACCAAGATAAAATGTAGCTTAGTTGAACTTCACTTCATATTAAATGATATCAGCAACATTTCTATGAAATAACCCTATTTCTTTCAAGTTTCTCGCCAAAAAGGAAATATTACAAGATCACATTTAAACAGCATTCTCATTCCAACGTAATGGTTTACCTTGGCCAAATACTATACTACTATCATGATGTTATTTAATGCAACCTCCTGACTGCTATATTCAATATTGCAGTTTATTTAGTTTCATGATTTTCCTTTGGTTTCTATTAAGAGTTGTTATATTGCATATACTGTTTGTGATGTGATTCTTTTTATAATAAGCATCAACAATAAAACTACAGATGTTTCACCTTGGAGTGGCCAGAAGTGCTCGGCTCACATTCATAATATATTGAATTACATTTATAGCCGAGATCATTCAAATTGAAAGCATGATCATGAAATGAAACCAATCAGATAACAAAAGTCTGATAACATTACAATTTCCGTTGCTTATTTGTGTCCCGTTGTTGGCCCATCTGTTGCTGCATTCTTTCTCCGCTCTCTGTTCATTTCTGTCCGCTCTTCCTCATCCTTTCCTCTGTCTTTCTGCCCACCTTTGTATTTCCCTGTCAGGCTTTTCTGCTTGTCATTGTGTTCCCTGTCTCCAGACGAGTTAATGAGAAGGGCTCACCTGAGGGACCAGCGTTGTGTTGAAGCTCACCCGTCTCATTAACATCTCATTATCACCCCCTGTCTTCTGTCTTTATACGTCTCCTAGCCCCTCGTCACATCATCTTCTTATTACAAGACATTTTTGCCAATAGCATTGCAAAATTATTTTTCACAAGGGGAAATTAAAATGGAGATTAAAAACTAGGGCGTAGAATCACATTATATTAATAATTACACCAATGTTCACTTGTTGTTTCCTTATTACTGTTTTCTGTGTTTGATGATCTCTCTTGTTTTTATAGATTTGACATTTTCTTGAAAAACATTCTAAAGTAATTTGGGTTGTGCCCCGAGATAACAACAGATCAGTATCAATATCCTCCTATTCAAAAAATTAAATATAGGATAAAAATATCTTAATTTTTTAAGATGTGGAGTGGCACCCAAATAAAAATCTGTTGCCATTTTACCACATGAAATGCAGGAATCGAGTATTGGCCAATGTATCAAATTGTGCTTACAGAAAATAAAACATGTACACGAAGGCGAAGTGCAACCAAATACCTCAAACTGCACTTTTTAAACCACTGGCGCACGTACGCAAGCTGTCAGTGTGCACAGATAAGCGAGCTGCTGGTGATGCACGTTGGCTGCTTGTGTGGAGACTGCTAAAGGCTTATCAAGACCTCCCTAACAGCCTCACATTTATCTTAAAACATCTTACCTTCTAAGACAGCCCATCCATTTCTCATAAGAGCATTTGGGACAAAAGAAGAGAGAGATATATCCATTTAGTTTACAAGATCATTTATCTTTCTATCCTTATGTTGTACCAATTATAGTTTACTTGTGTTTAAATGAAGATGAGCAGTCACCAAGAATGTCCACTGGAGTACAAGCTTTTAATTCAATTTTAATTTAATGTGCTTTGTCTGCGCAGTGAGCAACCTAAATGATAATATATTTAACGCATGATACATTTAGGTTTTCCTATACTTACATTTGAAGGTGATGGTTTTAATTTATGGTTTGATTTAATATGTTTAGTATTACATACTGTGTGGCTGAATAATAGGAACTGTCGTTTTTCTGCTAAACACAGTTTTATTAGTTCATCATACAACTCCCTCCCTCAGTGTCACACGCTGGGCTCTTTCCCCCTCAGTTCACTGATCTGTAACCATTCACACTGCGTCACACTGCTCTGTCCCCATTTTCAATCTTGCAACATCATTCCTTCTCCTTTATCTCAGCCTCCAAGGCACAAACCAAATCACCTGAATTGTGATTGGATTTTCACATCAACTGCATGTGTGTGACGGGTGTTCTTGATGTGTGTCCTCTGATGTCTTATGCTATGGTGTCATGATTGATTAAGAAAACATTCTTGTTCATCCCATACCCTTAAGCGTGCCTCTCCCTGAATGTTAACAGACACAAGTTTGTTCTTGATTTTTCCCGCTTATCATCCAAAAGGTCAAACACCAAATGCCACCTTCTCCTTCATGTTCCCGACGGGCCAATAGATGCTTGCTAGTTGCTATCTTTGCTTGATACCAGGATTTTAATTTTTAATTTGCAGATAGCGACAAGCCTTTTCAACAACCTTATCTAACATGCTGTTCAGACTTTTTTACATATGATAAATCCAAGCCTGAATGGCTAGATCTTAAAATGTATAACTTGCATCACAGGTATTAGAGTAAGAAGTTAGAACGCACTGTGACTTCACAAATCGGATTAAACCATTTAAAATGCAAGACGGATACTCTCCAAGTCATACCGGAACTACCTTACCTATAGGGTCAAACACTGGAGGAATGCAAATCATGTTCATGTTCAGTAGGCACACCCAACTACAGAACATACTTACATACATATTTGTATCATACCTGCTTTCACACTTTCTCTAACAAAGGCAGGTGTAAAATTGTAATTTCCCACTGTGTAAAATATTGCTGAATTGATGATTTTACTGGGAAGACCTTGTGTAAAAGAAGGTATGAAAGCAGGCATTATTAACATATTGTATTGTGATTGAACACAGAACAAACACAGCTGTGAATGCACAATGAGAATCACTCCCTAGGGACTAAAAGCCTGCCAGAAGCATCGGTCCGCTGACTGCTTACCTCCTCGGCCAAATGTTCAAACAGAACAAGCCAGAAGGGAAAGGGGCGACAGTGTGAGAAAGGAGGGTGAGACATGGGAAGACAGAGAACAAAGGGTTGAAAACTGGAAGGAAAGGAGAAGATAGGATGAAAAGGCTGGACAGAAATGTTAGCGAAGTGAGCAGAGTTTTAGCCGAATACTAGGCTTCCGTAAGTAAGAGTCAAATTGCATTTTGGTGTTTGATAATTGGCACCATAAGCCATTTCCAACACTCGGAAGAGGAAGTAAAGAGAGGCCTCGGAAGAGGAAGTAAAGAGAGGCCTTTAATATATTATCTTGTATCTGCTTTCTAAGAGTTATTATCCTGTGTGCACAAGGGTCATCATCCTTTTGGACCTGTCTGCTGCATTCGACACGGTGAATCATCAGATCCTCCTTCGCACTCTCCAAGAACTTGGAGTTTCAGGCTCTGCACTTTCCCTCCTCACCTCATACCTCAAAGACCGCACCTACAGGGTTACTTGGAGAGGGTCCGAGTCCGACCCTTGTCAATTAACTACAGGGGTCCCTCAGGGCTCTGTTCTTGGTCCCCTCCTCTTCTCCTTGTACACAAACTCGCTCGGATCAGTCATTAGCCCGCATGGTTTTTCATACCACTGCTACGCTGATGACACCCAATTAATTCTGTCCTTTCCCCGCTCAGAGACCCAGGTCGTCGCACGCATCTCTGCTTGTCTAGCTGACATCTCTCAGTGGATGTCTGATCATCACCTCAAGCTCAACCTTGACAAGACTAAACTGCTTTTCCTTCCGGGAAAAGATTGTCCCACTCTTGACCTAACAATCAACATTGGCACCTCTGTTGTTTCCCCGACTCAGACTGCAAGGAATCTGGGTGTGACCCTAGATAACAACCTGTCCTTCACTGCAAACATCGCTGCTACAACCCGCTGCTGCAGATACACGCTTTACAACATCAGGAGGATGCGTCCCCAGCTGACTCAGAAAGCGACGCAGGTTCTGGTCCAGGCTCTCGTCATCTCACGCCTAGACTACTGCAACTCCCTCCTGGCTGGTCTACCTGCATGTGCCATCCGACCTCTGCAGCTCATCCAGAATGCAGCAGCTCGCCTGGTCTTCAACCTTCCTAAATTCTCCCACACCACGCCGCTCCTCCGCTGCCTTCACTGGCTTCCGTTAACTGCTAGAATCCACTTCAAGACACTGGTACTTGCTTACCATGCTGCGAATGGATCTGGCCCTTCCTACATCCAGGACATGGTTAAACCGTAAACCCCAGCACGTTTACTCCGCTCTGCATTAACCAAACGGCTCGCTGCACCCTCGCTGCGAAGGGGACCCAAGTTCCCATCAGCAAAAACACATGGGTTTGCTATCCTGGCTCCAAAATGGTGGAATGAGCTCCCCATTGACATCAGGACAGCAGATAGCTTACACACCTTCCGGCGCAGACTGAAAACTCATCTCTTTCGACTCCACTTCGAGCGATAGAACTATTAACAAAGCACTTATATACTAATAAAGGGCTGGCTTATCTAAAGCCAGTTGAGTAGCACTTGAAATGTTTTTGCTCTATGAAGCCTGATGTACTTATATGATTCTGTTTTCTTCAACTTTGTATTTTGTTGGTCGAACGCACTTATTGTAAGTCGCTTTGGATAAAAGCGTCAGCTAAATGCAATGTAATTGTAATGTAATTGTGTTGAAGTGCCTTTCTGGATTTGTTCGTAATTCTCAAAAATTCACATCTTCTTCATGACTTATGCAATGTGTGGCTTTCGTATTAGTTTCAACCCATCAGGAATGTCAGCAAAAGGTTTCAAATAAGATACAAATGTGATATTTTTCCATTCAACTAATGAAAAGACCTTGAGAAAATGTGTTCCAGTTAAGTACAGGCCTTGCAGGCAGACATCAAAATCAAAGAGTAAAGCCACATACTCATAACACTAATGCATTCACTTCAGAATATAGAGTTAACATAGTTGGGATATTCAACAATTTGTCAATGTTTTTGGCTTCATACGTTTAAAGAGACACAACAGGACTACACCAGTAGCCAATGTATTACTCTGCTGAACCTACATGTACAGAGTTCCTTTGTTGCTTCCCCAGGAAAACAAGTATGTTCATTGAATTGGATTAGCCTCCTGTGTCCACACTGTGTTTCTTCTCCTTCGGTGTTTTCTCTCTCAAACCCAACTAATATTTTTACTTTTTTCTATTTCTGGCGCTCATCACGCAATATTTGGGATCTTACTTAAGTTTCATCCATTAACAATGATTTATTTTTATGAGCAGTGCAGAAATCAAGTTTGGTGGGAATGTTCTTAATGATAATTTAAAGTGAGCATAACAAAAGCAAAGTGTCTCCCTTTATTCAGCTCTTTTGTGGGGTGTAAGTCTCTTCTGTTGAACCAGTGGCGTTTCTGGTGATGTTTGCATTTGGGAATGTAACATAGATGTAATTATTCTCCAAAGTCAGATTACTGTGAGGATGACGCTTTTTGATCTGTTTTTAATAATTTGCCTGACGACTAAGATAAAGCAGGTCAAGTGTACCCTCTTCATAGGAAAACTACAATTATAAAGGTAAAAAATACACTGACAATATTTGCAAAGTGAAGCTTATTTATTTAAGATGAAAAGTCATGAACAAAATAATAGTATCAACCTTTCACACTCAAAACATATCATAATTTCTAATGAATGAATAAATGCCTATGAAGTTGACATTTCTCAAGCTATTAATAAAGAAGCACGTACAGGTGAGGAGGCATACACAGCACAGCTGGCAAGACATTTTAGATTTAAAAAGGACATGACAGCATGACACACAGTGTTTCGTTAAAAGTTTGATTAAAGCTTCATGTTAGAACATCTGAGGTGCAAGGAACATGTCAAAAATAATGTAGGATATCAAGAGCAAACGAGGACAGTTAAAAAAGACAAAACAGAAGAGGCAGTTGAACGCTTACTCATATTAGTATAAAGCTTTCCTCCCATGTTCAAAGAATTCTGCAAAACACATTGTTTGAATAATTAACTCGAAGTCAAACTCAAGTCAAGTTTCTCATTCCCTCTGTGCTCTCTTTCTGACAGAACGACTACCGTAAGTTGTCGATGCAGTGTAAGGACTTTGTGGTGGGTGTGTTGGATCTTTGTCGGAACACGGAGGAGGTGGAAGCCATACTGAACGGCGACGTGGACGTGTGCCCCCCCAGCGCCTACAACCGACCATGCCTCAGCCGCGTCATATTGGCCATCAAGTACGAAGTCAAGAAGGTAAGATGACAAAAAAAAAAACGATAAATCAACTATCTACTGTATGTAAAGTCCAGTGGTAGTTTTGTTTTCGTTTTTCTTCAGATACTATTAAACCAGAAAACATTTATAAAAAAATTCAAGAATCTATTCCTCTAGGACGATTAACAACCCACTGTTAGTATCAACTGCGTTAGTCTGACATTAGCAATGTGACAGTTAAAAGGAGTCATTGCTTCTAAACCTCACCCTAACACTGGGCTTGATGTAAGATAGGGCCCTTGGTCTCAAAAGAAGTCAAGCACCAACCACTTGATCCTTTTTTCCCATAATGCAGCTTGATAATGCCTCTTGAGGAACTCTGAGTGGCTGATAAATGCCCTTTCAAACTCCATGCTCCAATATTGTGACCTACTGTAGGCCGCCTGTTATAAATGTATACATATATCTTTAAGCTCAGGCAAGCCAAGATAACCCATGATGAAATCAATATGATATCATCATGGGTTATTCTTTCAGACGTTTGCAAGCTCTTCTAAAGCCACAGGATATTATACGACTTTTTTCAGAAGTTGAGTAGTACTCCCCACGGCAAGTCGTGACAGTGTTTTCAAAATAACCTTTACTTTTCTTGTGTGTCTGTGTTGTTGCATGTACAGTATGGTTTTGTTTTTGCGTGCATGTGGCCTCAGAGGGCCCCTATTTCAAAGAGCTTATCCCTGCTGAGCAGAGGTGTGCTTACTAAAATGTCAAACAGAATGTCGTTTCCCCATTTCTCTCCACCACACACACACACACACACACACACACACACACACACACACACACACACACACACACACACACACACACACACACACACACACACACACACACACACAGTGAGTTGGAGCTGTGTGTTTATCCTGTACAAGAGAGCGTGACCATTACTCAGGTGGCTAATTACACAGGAGGCCGGGAGGGATGGATTGCCATGGCAACCAGGTGAAGCCTGGCTGTGTAGTGCATGTGACCGGATGCAGGCAGGGTTAATTGAAGGGGTCATGAATTGATAGACTGGTCACCGGCGGACCCCAGTGGGAAACTATGTTAAATACAATTTAGTGTGCATGGGGGAGTTTTATGGCTGTGTGTGGTTTCCCTCTGAATGTAGAAATGATTGAGTGCACACACACACAAATTAGACTTGTGCGTGTTTCGATCGCCGTACGGGAGCAGATGGATGTCATACGTCATCTCAGATAAAAGCTCCCTGAACATGAGCCAGGGCTGATGGTGAAGGGGTGAGAAGGATTGATGGTGGGAGAAAACAAAGAGGCTAGTGTAAATCAAGGTAGAGCAGAGTTGAGCCGATTTAATCTGTTGCTCACATCTTACACAAAAAAACGATACACAAACACTGTTTGATTGCTCGACTAGTTGACCTCCTACTGAGCATCGATTGCCCTGTTGTCCACATCCTTCCTGCAGCTGGAAGAAAAACATCCATCCTTTCCTCCCCAAGAGATCAGTTTTCATTTATCACTTCCTTTCTTGGAGTTATGTCAGCAACAAGAACGGACCAACCCTTATTTATTGAAGCGAATACTCCTGAGTAATGAATGTAAACACTTGCTGCTTCTTATTTGCTGCCTTTTTTCTTTTTGCATACTGTATTTTAAATTGATTTCACAACCTGCTCGTTGACCTTTTCTCATTCTGAATGAAGACAAGTGGCACCTGTGAATACAAAAGTGTTTGGAATAATATATGTATTCCAATGGATACACAGTGTACGCTCTAAATTGAAAAGCATTTTGCACACTGTGCTACTTAGGCTGATCTTGAGCACCACAACTTTTATTTACACACATTGCATTGATGATATTGAAAAGCACAAGAAATCAGGTTTACCAATGGTACTTTATGTTTAATACTGTACAGAAATAGAATAAATAAAACCAATCTTCTGCTTTTTGGCATTAACAGAATGCTGGAGTGGGACAATATAAGTGAAAATATTGTCCAAAAGATGTACATGGACCATAAAACAACACGTGGAAGAAAAACACAGGCATACCATAACACCTACTTCAACATCGGTTACATTTTATTTGAAAGACAATTCAATTCTAGTCTATGGTATAACAGGGAAAGAAATGTACATGGATTTACAGATGTTAAAAACCAACAAATTACGGCACCACCATGTTCGTTCCACTATGAAACAATCACACGTCATTTCTTGTTGTGTCATGGGTATAAAACTGTAGTGGAAGAAGTATTGCAATTGTTTTCAATACTTAATAAAAGAACAACACCACAATGTAATAAGTCTTTATTAAATCAAAAGTCATATATTAACCTCTAACTATCTGCAGGGATATCTCTTGCTAAATATTGAACCCCCATACTGCAGTCAGTCTGTCATATAAGCCATATCCTGGTTACACTGCTAGACTATTTCAGTGTATCTGTTGCACATGCACAATGTGCTGCTGCTGTAAGCAGAACCCTCAATAGATCAGTTAAACCAACTAAAACCTTCCTGCATGTTTTACGAAGATAGGAAAGCTCATTTGTATGGCTTCCTGCTAATTGCTCTCCTCTCCCCCCTTCTTACTTTCTCCTCTCTCACATTTCCTCCCCTCTGTCCCCATCTCATCTTTGCTTTCGACATTGATTTGTACTTATTGTCCGTCTCTCCTTCCAGTTTGTGGCCCATCCCAACTGCCAACAGCAGCTGCTGACTATCTGGTACGAGAACCTGCCCGATCTGAGGCAGCAGTCTGTGTGTGTGAAGACCTGGACGGTGCTGGGGGTCGCTGCAGGTCTGCCCTTTCTGGCTGTTGCCTACTGGATAATGCCATGCAGCAAGGTATGAACACGCATGCACTCACAAACAAGCAAACGACACAGAGTCCCCCCTGTCCCCTGATCTCCAGCTCTTTGTCCTACCAGTGCAACTAACTAGCAAAAATGGATTTCAGCCTATTGAAATTGACTCAAGCTACTTCTGTGGCTTGCTCCCTTCTCAGAGTTTAATTTATTTCGGATTCACCTAAGTCACAATAGTTGAAATAAATAAATAATATAAAACTGCACAAACAGCTCTCCAAAAACTGTTGCTTTTTACTGTATTCACTCTTCTTTACTGTGAATATATGTGTTTACATGTCAAAAAGACTCTTCACTAAAGTTATCGGGATTATCTCTCTGTGGACCATGAGAATAGACATAATAAATGGCAATCCAATTTCTATCGGGGCAAAAGACATTACTGTTATATGAATTTTAAAGGAACTGTTAAATCACTATTTGATTCTAGGATCATAAGACCCTCTATTACATGTTGTTAATACCCCATCAAGAATATTATAATCTGTAAAGTGACACACAGACAGGCGCTCAGCAAGCTGCTATGCAAATCTGCTCATTAACCTGGATAATCCTTTACCTCATCATCAAGTAGTGTGTGTGTGTGTGTGTGTGTGTGTGTGTGTGTGGTGTGTGTGTGTGTGTGTGTGTGTGTGTGTGTGTGTGTGTGTGTGTGTGTGTGTGTGTGTGTGTGTGTGTGTGTGTGTGTGTGTGTGTGTGTGTGTGTGTGTGGTAGAGTCAGTAGTATTGAGGATTTTAGAGTGGTTCCTCTCTAGTGTGACTGATGAATTAATCATTTTGTGGACTAAGAGAGTGAGAGCAGCTGGTGTCAAGTGTAAGAGATGATGGAGAGCAACACAAACTACTTCTGATCATGAATACACCTGTGTATGTTAATTTGTGCACATGTGAGTATGGGTATACAGTGTTTCCCACAGATATTAAATATACTTGGGCGGGTGGTGGCAAGGGGGGGGGGGGGGTGCGCGACAAAAAAAAAAAGTTTTAACAACATTATTTATTGACTTTTCATTTCGGTATAATCATTTTGCGCAAAGATGGCACTGTTTGTCAGAGCACTTCATCCTTCTGGGATTTCATGAAGAACAGCTCCAACGCCTGTGTGTATGGGAATGCCTCTGGTGCTGGTCCATTAACTGCCAGTGTTTCCCACAAATCTGAAATATACTTTGGGGGGTGGTGGGTAGCGGGGGGGGGTTGAGGTGACGTGCAACAACATTAACCTTTCTGTTGGTCGCTTGTTAGCAGACCCTTCACGCGATGGCAGAGCGAACAGGTACAGGTACAGGCAGGGTCCATAATGATAGCCCTATAGTTTAAATCTACTACCCACACATGAACATATGGAAATGGGTTACTATTTAAAAAAATAAATGTATTTATTAATGTATTTAGGAACCTATCCATGTGATTTTTAGTGGGGGTCGACCTCAAATCCTCTAGGGGGGTCCAGGGGCATGCCCCCCCCGGTAAGATTTTATTTTTTATTTTGGAGTTAAATGCATCAATCTGGTGCATTTTGAGGGGAAAATAAAGAGACTAGATCTATGGAAACACCTATATGAAACAGAACTGTATACATTTCAATAATCATAAAATCAAGGCCATAACCAACAACATCCCATTTCCAATATGAAAAAAACACTGAAACTTGTTTATTAATTTAGTTTTGGTTCATTTATAGTTGTGAGTGTGTCTGTGCTCCTGAATCAGCCTCTCCTGTCTCCCTCTTCCCCCTCCTCTCCCTCCTCTCCCCCCTCTCCATCCTCTCCCCCTGCTCCTCTTTGAGGCAGCAGCAAAGACTAGTTTTCTCTCAACAAGTTTTAAAAGTGTATCTTACCTTTTTTCACCTAGTTAACTTTTTATTTATTTATTCATGCATATTTTACTAATCACATTACATTTCATTTAGCTGACGCTTTTATCCAAAGCGACTTATAATGACCGATTACAGGGACATTCTCCCTGGAGTAACTAAGGGCTAAGTGCCTTACTCAAGGGCACACTAGTGGTGGTGTTCCTGGCGGGATTTGAACTCACAGCCTTCCGATCTTCAGCCCACCTCACTCTCCATTAGACCAATCACTACCCTCTCAAATGGAAATATGTGTTTACATAAATGGTGACCACCGTTTGAGACCCACTGAGAACTTAGACTAAGTTAACTATCTAAACACTCAGAGAGTCCTTTACCTCACCTGAGCTGAGGTTATCCCGAGCTTGAATGACACACACAGACCAATCAAGGGCTTTGATTTATGATCTGTATGACAGTGGCCATGTTGGCATCATGTGGACAGCCAGTCACCCTGTGTGAGGCAGGCCACTTAACAGGCCAGAAGGAGGCGAGATCAGAGCAAGGGAGCGAGGGATCATTGTCTACAAGTTAATCGATCGCAGATGGCGTCGTGGTCACGGACGAATAAAAAAAATATATATAAAAAAAAAAAATTATAAAAAAAAAAAAAAACAACTAAATGGGTCGCGAAATATACTTGGGCGGCCGTTAATATACCTGGGCGGCCCGCCCAAGTATAGTCTATGTGTGGGAAACCCTGGTATATTTAATTATGAAGTGTAGTTCAGGCGGTAGAGTGGTTGTCTACCAATCAGAAGGTCTACGGTTCGATCCCCAGGCCCTGCAGTCAACATGACAATATACTTAACCCCAGTGATGGCTGCCGATGGCCAGCAGTATGTGAATGTGAGTTCCCCTGGCGGCACTTTGTATGGCAGCTTTTATGTGTGTGCATTCATGTGTGAATAAATAGGCGAATGCTGTCACAGCCCTATGAGTGTTCGCAAAGACTGGAAAAGCGCTGAATGAATGCAGTCCAAATCATTTACAAACAAACCGATGAGACAGTCTGTCACAGTCTGCTATTTTGTGACGCAGCAGGAAAAAGGTTTGAATCAATATTTAGGCATGTTTATTAATAATGTGATAAACAACAGAGACCAAAATAAATATTTAAAGGAACTGATAATGAAATAGATACATACTTAATTGCAGTTTGCAGAGAAGAAGTGGATGTGTTTTAGTTGTGTGTGTAGCTTGCCCTCCTAACCCAGACACTAGTTTGTCTCTGTTCATCTCATCAATTGCTCATCTCCTACAGCTCATGATGTTTTTAAGGTCTCCACAACAAAGTATTTTCAGAACCTCAAACATAATAGCATTTCATATCAGTGGGTATAGATTCCCAGTCGATCGCGAGATGTGTCTAAAAATAGAACAACAATATTCTGTTTTATCGTTAATGTCCTATAACATAATCTTCCTGTGCCAGAATAATGCACTTGAACGCATCAAAGCTTTGTGATTGGCCGGCGTGACCCCATGTGTCGGGGCGTGGCTGGTGGGCAGTGGGCACTAGTTCGCTGACGTTGTCCGTGGCAACAGGAGTGACAGTCCTCACACACAAAAGATCACAATTATGGCAGAAGCAAAAAAGCCCAAAAATATATAATTTTCACTCCGAGCGGGAGGATGATTATTTTTGTATCTATTCCAATTCAAAGTCCATCTGTCTCATCTGCAATGCGAGCGTGGCTTTATCGAAGACGCGTCATTTAGGAGCGGCATTTCAAAACAGTGCACAAACGCTACGAGACGGAATTCCCTCCTAATTCTGCCCTACGCTCCCAAATATGGAGGACGGAACATGACTTAAGTATAAATAAATAAATGTATGAAGAAATACAGGAATAAATAAATAAATACGTAAATAAATAAATAAATACAGGAATAAATAAATACAGGAATAAATAAATGACGAAATAAATACAAAAATAAATAAATGTTGAAATGAATACACAAATAAATAAATAAAAGAATAAATGCATAAATAAATGCATAAATGAATACACAAATACATAAATAAAAGAATAAATGCATAAATAAATATGGAAATAAATACATCAATGTATAAATAAATAAATAAAAGTCGAAAATAAATCAGAACACACGTTATTATATATCTTTCATTTATTTCTACATTTACGCGACATACATGTATTTATTTATGTGTCCGTATGCTAATGAGGTGGGCGGTCCTAACCTCAGTCTGAAGCAGGATTCGCCAATTGTTGGAGCCAGGCAGAAGCAATAGATTTGTGGCAAGTCACATCAGAGGCTTCTCAATACTCAAATTTCCCCTCCTCGACTGCTCGACTCCTCGGTCCTCCGGTAGTGACCCGGAAAGGAATTTCAGAGCGCCATTTTGAAGGACGTCTCATTTCTCTAAATGCACACCGAGGACCGAGCATCGAGCGTCGAGGAGGCTCTCTGGAGGAGCTATAACCGAGGATACACTGATGGTTCCTCCACGGCTCCTCCACGGATGCATTTCCGGGAACGGTGGAGGCGTGACGCACGGCCGGACTTATCTCAGCCAATGACAGCTATGCATGCATCCCCTGGATATTATATTAGAAACTGCTTTCATCGCGTCGCGAGCAGTGTGTATAATATATATCACTCAGTAGAACAGGCCGACTCTCTTTGCTTTAGTTTAGTAGATATCTACAAACAAAGAGTCCAGATGTTTCTCAGACCATTGCTTCACATAATAAAATACACAACGGCTTATGCTTTAGGAGCTGTAGGTGTGTGTGGTACAGTGTGTAGGTGTGTGTGTGGTACAGTGTGTAGGTGTGTGTGTGGTACAGTGTGTAGGTGTGTGTGTGGTACAGTGTGTAGGTATGTGTGTGGTACAGTGTGTAGGTGTGTGTGTTGTACAGTGTGTAGGTGTGTGTGTGGTACAGTGTGTAGGTGTGTGTGTGGTACAGTGTGTAGGTATGTGTGTTGTACAGTGTGTAGGTGTGTGTTGTACAGTGCGTAAATGCGGCGGACAGACGGGTCTCAGTTAGTTTGGTGTCCTCTGCTTACTTTTAATACTTGTAAATACAACTTTTGGCACGTAATTTCAATTCCCCATTTCAGCGACCAGAGAGAGAGGGGGATATATCCAGTCTCTG